AACTACAAAAAATTAGCTGGGCATGGTGGCGTGTGCCTGTAATCCCAGCTACTCAGGAGGCTGAGGCAGGAGAATTGCCTGAACCCAGGAGGTGGAGGTTGCGGTGAGCCAAGATTCTGCCACTCCCCCACCTGCTGGGTAACAAAAAAAAACCTCCGAAAAAAAAAAAAAAAAAAGGAAGTATTTCTGTGGTGGGAAAAAGGGTATGTATATATTTGAGGGGATAGGGTCTGAGGAACACTTAAGAGCCCTGAATTTTATCTTGAAAACAGAGCTTGCACTTATTTACCCTGTTCTTGATCTCCTGAAGCATTTCTTGGTTTTCTTCATTTCCCAAGTTGAGTATCTTCATTGTCTGGTACATTTCTCTGAAAGATTAGAAGGGCTTCTTAGATAATTCTGCCCTGTCCTTTAAAAAAGCATGCTGGGGGGGTAGAAAATATGGGACTTGGAATCAGGTAAGAATCCCAAGTACCAATCCTAACTGTGCAGTTTTGCTGAGCCTTATTTGCAAAAATGGTGTGGTGCTTAGCTTTTTTTTTTTTTTTTTGAGAGAGAGTTTCACTCTGGTTGCCCAGGCTGGAGTGTACTGGCACAATCTTGGCTCACTGCAACCTCCACCTCCTGAGTTCAAGCAATTCTGCCTCAGCCTCCCGAGTAGCTGGGATTACAGGCATATGCCACCATGCCCAGCTAATTTTTGTATTTTTAGTAGAGACGAGGTTTCACCCCGTTGGCCAGGCTGGTCTCAAACTCCTGACCTCGTGATCTGTCTGCCTTGGCCTCCCAAAGTGCTGGGATTATAGGCACAAGCCACCTTGCCCAGGCATATTGTTATTTTTAATTTTTTTTTTTTTTTTTTTTTTTGAGACAGAGTTATCCAGGCTGGAGTGCAGTGGCTTGATCTCCGCTCACTGCAACCTCTGCCTCTGGGGTTCAAGCTATTCTCCTGCCTCAGCCTCCCAAGTAGCTGGAACTACAGCTGTGTGCAACCACGTCCGTCTAATTTTTGTATATTTAGCAGAGATGGGGTTCCCCATGTTGGCCAGGCTGATGTCGAACTCCTGATCTCAGGTGATCCACCCGTTTCAGCCTCCCAAAGTGCTGGAATTACAGGTGTGAGCCACCACATCTGGCCCAGACAATATATTTGAAGGTACCAATAGGTAGCATTTACTGAACACCTTTTGCTAGGCACTAAACATGTCATCTCAGTATCACCACAACCCTGTAATGTAAACTATCACCTGCATTTGATACATGAAAAAAATGGGCTCACGGAGTTTAAATACCTTATATAGGCTCACATAGCTATTGCATGCCAGAACTGGAATTCAAACCCTGGTCTTATTGACTCTAAAACTTGTTGTCCCATTAGGCACTTGATAAATGTTAGTTGAATATATAAGTAACTTAAAACCATCTTGGTGGGGAGAAAAGGTACGTGAACTACATAAGTTTGACTTTCAATCTAATTTAGGCCAGTTTTTGTTACCTACTTGGGTGAGTGGTGAAAGTGCAGGTGAGCCTGTGCTTTTACTGCTATTAGGCAGCCTGGAAAGAAAGGCAGGGACATATTCAATGACCAAAGATGTGAGAGTTGGCAGTATAAGGTCATGGTGGGAGCCAGAGGTTTAGTGCTTACTTTAGAACAGCATCGTGGTTCTCCAGGAGCAGCACATCTAGGAAGGTGTCCCTGACCCGGTCCCCTTGAAGTTTGAGGGCTAGGATGCTACGGCAAGCTTCCAGTCGTACACCTGGTGACTCTTCATAATGGATAGCCCAGAGCAGAAGATCTGTCAGCTCGGGACTTACTTGCCCAATCTGTCCCAAAGCTGCAGAGATTAGAGGACAGCATGTCACTGAAGACTGAGCTTACTATATTCTAGCATCCAGAAATAAATTGAGTTTTACAAACAATACCTTCCCTTTGGATGGTAATTAATCACCATTAGAACTTTAGGGATAGGTTAGAGTGGGACATTACCTCCAAAGGATTTCTAGAAGAGGGATGTTCCATCCCATCCTTGCCCATTAGGATATTTGTCTATTTGGGGGATGAAATATAGGACAGATAACATAAGACCACCCTAGTCCTGGCAGGGTGATGGGGAAAGGAGGCACAATTATTTACCTATGTCAAAAAGAGAAGCAATGCCAAAGATCCTAAATAGAAAGTAGGCAGATTAAGGGGCAGGGTTTTAGGTCTGTAGCAGTCTTGAAACTGATCTGATTTTTATAGAGCGTAATAGTTGAAATCTCCAGGGAAAGCAAGATGCATCCAGCAGTGGATACCTACTTAGAACTTATCCTTAATTCTGTTGGCAGGGACTGTCTTGTCAGCCCTTTCTTTACCTTAACAAGCTTGACATATACCTAGACTCAGGATCTTTAACTAAAAATTAAAAAGAAGAAAATAATTTTTCTCTTCTCAGACAAGGAACTTCTGAAAAGCTAAGATTATTACCTCTCCTGTACTTCACCCCTTTATTAGAGAGTTTCTGGGGATCAGTTATACTTGCATAGGGGAAGGTATTTAAGGTTGAAGAGTTTGGGGCACTACCTCTATAATACCTCGAATGGCAAAGGCCTTGATTTTCCAGTAAGGATCTCTCTGCATCAGGTTCAGGAGGCATTCAAGCACCTGGGATGGATAAAAGGTAGTGCTGAGTGGAGAGAACCAGAGCAAGAATGAACTAGAAACAGCCAGGTGTGGTGGCTCATGCCTGTAATCCCAGCATTTTGGGAGGCCAAGGTGGGCACATCACTTGAGGGTCAGGAGTTTGAGACCAACCTGACCAACATGGTGAAACCCTGTCTCTACTAAAAATACAAAAATTAGCCAGGCATGGTGGCACATGCCTGTAATCCCAGCTACTCAGGAGGCTGAGGCAGGAGAATCGCTTAAACCCAGGAGGCGGAGATTGTAGTGAGCTGAAATTGTGCCGCTGTACTCCAGTCTGGGTGACATAACAAGACTCCGTCTCAAAAAAACAAAAACAAAACAAAAGAATGAACCAGAAACAGGGACACCACTTATCTCTGAAAGGAGCTATAATTGAAAAAAATGACCTATCAATTCTTGTGACAAATGAGCTGGAGCCTAAAGTACCAACCTATATGTATAGTGAGTGTATTAGCTTAATTATTATCTGGTATTGATTTTCTCAGTCTACAGATCTGTGGCCATATGGCTTATCTTGAACACGTCAAACAGATTTTTCCCTAATAATGGAATTATAAAATTATAACTCCATTTATGGGAATTGATCCTAAAGCCCATCAGCATCCAGGTAATGAGAAGCTAGTTAACTGAGGTGAGAACAGGATTTAGGGGTGCTCTAGAATGGAAGTCTGGGCTGGCTGGGAGCTAAACCAAGCTTGTCTGACATGCGGCCCAGGACAGCTTTGAATGCAGCCCAACACAAATTTGTGGACTTTGTTAAAACATGAGATTTATGCATGGACCTTTTTTTTTTTTTTTAAGTTCATCAACTATCTAGTGTTAGTGTTCTTTTTTTTTTTTTTTTTTTTTTTTTTTTAATTTTAAGACAAGGTTTTACCATGTTGGTCAGGCTGGTCTTGAACTCCCGACCTCAGGCGATCCGCCTGCCTTGGCCTCCAAAGTGCTTGGATTACAGGCGTAAGCCACCACGCCCAGCATAGTGTTAGTGTACTTTATGTGTGGCTCAAGACAATTCTTCCAGTGTGGCCCAGGGAAGCCAAAAGACTGGACACCTCTGACACGGTCCTGTTTGAAGTGGCTTATATACCCTCTTCCCAGTTCCGATCTCTCATTCTGTGTCCCAGAAGAATGTTGTGTATACTGTGCACAACCAAAGATGAGAGTATGTTTCCCTGACTCACCATCTTGTCGCGGATCTGCAGGGCACCAGCTGCCAAACAGGCTGCCCGCCGAACTGCTGTGAAGTCATCAGAGAAGCAGTGCAGGAAGCTTGGGAGAAGCTTGGCAGTCATAAGCTTGAGTTCACCTATCAGGGAGAGAGCTTCCACACGTTCCTGGGAATTTCCTTGACCCAGCTTGACCCTGTAAGGCACAAGTTGCTTTTCTTTCACTTTCTTAAACTTTCAGTACCTAACCCCCAACCCCTACTAATGCCCTCATGATAAAATCCAAGTTCTGCAGGGTGTCAATCCCATTCAGCCTTATGTTCATGAGACAAGTTTTACTGAGTACAGAGCTTGATCATCATCTTTACTTGAATCCCTTATACATAGCTATTAGGTAATTAGGTAATCCAGGGCTTTCAGTTACAGTGAATGACTGAGTAAAGGAAAGTGTCAGCTTGCACCCCTTATCACCGTCAAGTTCTCTTCTCCATTGCCCTTGTGTGTGCCATGATTATTTCTGCATTTGGCTTCCAGCCTGGAATGCCTATGCAGTCTTTTTGTTTGTTTGTTTAAAGTATTTTTAGAGATAGGGTCTTGCTCTGTTGCCCAGGCTGGTCTTGAACTCCTGACCTCAAGTGAGTCTCCTGCCTCAGCCTGAGTAGCTAGGATTATAGGCACTTACCCACTGTGCCTAGCTCCTATGCAGTCTTTCTCTCTCTCTCTCTCTCTTTTTTTTTTTTTTTTTTTTTTGAGATAGGGTGTTTCTCTGTTGCCCAGGAATGCAGTGGCATGATGATGGCTCACAACAGCCTTGGACGTTCTGGACCTAGGCAGTCCTCTTACCTCAGCCTCCCAAGTAGCTGGGACAACAGGCATATAAAACCACACCAGCTAATTTTTTAAAATTAATTAATTTTTTTTGAGATGGAGTCTCGCTCTTATCACCAGGCTGGAGTGCAGTGGCATGATCTCGGCTCACTGCAACCTCTGCCTCCTGGGTTCAAGCGATTCTCCCGCCTCAGCCTCCTGAGTAGCTGGGACCACAGGCGCACGCCACCATGCCCAGCTAATTTTTGTATTTTTAGTAGAGAAATACAACAAATGCTGGGTGGCTGGATCCCAGGCCCCCTGAACACTTATTTATTTATTTTTCCTGTCATAATCAAGTCTCACTAAACACTTCTTAGAAGAATGTCTCCTCGTGTTCACTGGGTCTTACCTGATTATGTCGTGCACCTCTTTCCCAAGGCTCATTTGCCCCAGCGCTTGCGCAGCTGCTCGCCTCACCTCCTTATGCCAGTCATTCCACATCAGCTGGATCAACTTATGTTTCATATCCTATAAATAGGTATGAGCATTAGCTATCACTTACTGAACATTAATTTTGTGCTTGGCATTATGCTGTTTTTTATTCTGTTTTTACTCACCACTGTACTAACGAGGATTGTACTGAGTGTTTTTGCCCATCCCTTACTCTCCTAAAGAATCCAGTGGGGTAGGTGTTACTTACTACCATTTATAGATGACAGAATGGAGGCTTTCACCAACTTGTCCAAGGTTAGCCTGGTGAGTCCTGGAACCAGGACTCAAACCCAGCTTTCTCTCCCAAGCTCATCCTTTAAACTATATAATGTCAGTGCCAACATAATCTGTACCTAGGAGACTTAAAATTTGAAAGTGATACTTGATGAGGTGACCAGCTCATTGCAGTTTGCCTGGGACTTTCCTGGTTTTCGTACTGAAAGTCCCATGGCCTGGACAAACCAGAACAGTTGGTCACTCTATAAGTGCACTTGTCTCAGAGAGGAATGGGCAAAGATTACTACACGATGACTGTGTAAATGCGCCCACGCTGTTCTCCCTGCTAGATGCATCTTCCTTCTCTACTCCTACCTGGTACTTGATGTCTTTGTACTCTTCCTTTAGGCTTTAGCTCCAAAGCATCTCCTTCCTATCACACTGAAATTTTATTGAAAATTTTAAAAAATAAAATAAAGACATCTTCTTTTTTTTTTTTTTTTTTTTTTTTTTTTTTCCGAGACGGAGTTTCGCTCTTGTTACCTAGGCTGGAGTGCAATGGCGCGATCTCGGCTCACCGCAACCTCTGCCTCCTGGGTTCAGGCAATTCTCCTGCCTCAGCCTCCTGAGTAGCTGGGATTATAGGCACGCACCACCATGCCCAGCTAATTTTTTTTTATATTTTTAGTAGAGACGGGGTTTCACCATGTTGACCAGGATGGTCTCGATCTCTTGACCTCGTGATCCACCCGCCTCGGCCTCCCAAAGTGCTGGGATTACAGGCTTGAGCCACCGCGCCCGGCAAGACATCTTCTTAGTGAAATCTTCTTTGCGCCTTATAAGCACAGGAAATCGCAACACCTATAGTTGCTTCTGTTTTAGCTATTTACAACATTTACCAAGGGAAGACTTATCCCTGCACCCCCAGTGGTAGCATAGTGCTTGGTGCATCAGATGTGGTCAGAAGTTGCATGCTTACTGAATGAATGAAAAGACTCATAGACACACTGCCTTTCTTAGCTCCAGCAGTCCGCCATGAGATCCTCATCATCTTCACCTCAGCCCCTGCTAGCCCTGCGTGTCATTTTACTTTTAGTTGGCAATTCTAAGTCACAAGCTCCAAGGACGTAAAGGTACAAATGAATTGGATGTTGTTAACATGATATTGTTAAAATGCAGATTCTGATTGAGGTGGCCTAAGTTGAGATTTTTGCGTTTCTAATAAGCTCCTAGGTGACATCTGCACTGCTGGTCTAGGACTTTAGCAGCAGGGTGCTATAGCACTTGAGACAGAACTCACTGAAGTCCAAAACCTTTTCATGTGATTACTGTACTGAATGGCCAGATTTTATCCTCCCCATATCAAAATGTCAGGATTACAGAGTGGAGGGTGTTCACTTATCATGGGAATGGCAATGTTCTGGGCTATTCTGGAGATACCCACTGTTATAAGGAAAAGATGAAGTAGCACGTAGGAAGAAGGGAAAGATCCCATTTGGACAGCCGAAGATGATTGGGAAATAATGGCAAAAACAAGGTGTTGCCTGGAATTCCCTCTTTAGTTCTAGCTGAGCCCCACACTTTTTCACAGACCTTTTTTTTTTAGATGGAGTCTACCTCTGTTACCCAGGCTGAAATGCAGTGGTGTGATCTTGGCTCACTGAAACCTCTGCCTCTGCCTTCCAGGTTCAAGCAATTCTCCTGCCTCAGCCTCCCGAGTAGCTGGCATTACAGGCATGCGCCACCATGTCCAGCTAATTTTTGTATTTTAAGTAGAGACAGGGTTTTGCCATGAAGGCCAGGCTGGTTTCGAACTCCTGGTCCCAAGTGATCCACCTGCCTTGCCTCCCAAAGTGCTGGGATTACAGGCATGAGCCACCATGCCTCTTCAGAGAACATTAACCAATAAGTTTAACCCACACGTATCTCTCTCCTTCTGAAAAGCTTTAAAAGAGTACCTTATATTTATTGCTTGTTCTTGAATATCTGTATATATTGGTCTTGTTGTTCCTAACATAGTGTTAATTTTGTGAAAGCTGGGACTATGTTTTTTGTTGTTGTTACTTTGAGACAGAGTCTCGCTCTGTTGCCCAGGCTGGAGTGCAGTGCTGTGATACTGGCTCACTGCAACCTCCACCTCCCAGGTTCAAATGATTCTCATGCCTCAGCCTCCTGAGTAGCTAGAATTACAGGTGTGTGCCACCACACCTGGCTAATTTTTGCATTTTGGTAGACGTGGGGTTTCACCATGTTGGCCAGGCTGGTCTCAAACTCCTCACCTCAGGTGATCTACCTGCCTCTGCCTCCCAAAGTGCTGAGATTACAGGTGTGAGCCACTGCCCGGCTGGGACTATGTTTTATATGTGTGTGCTGAACACTCAGAGAACCAGCACAGACACTCGTGTAGATGGGTTTTTGGGTAGTTTAAGTCAGTGTTTCTCGAATGGTCTTTGATGAAGGACCAGTTTGCGGGGGGAATGCGCCATTGACTGATAAAGTCTGTTGATATTGAGGCAATGTCAAATTACTATAAAAGTTTCTAAACTCCTGTCAGTTTTTGCGCTGTTTCATTGTGGATCAGTTACCAAGTTTGTGGACTACCACCGCATTGAGGAGCATTGGCTTCACAGACAGACATGTTGGCATTTGAAGATAATTCTGAGCTAGAAGTAAGAAGTAGTGATGTGGGAACAGAGATCTGTTTGGTAAGTATGGGATACTAGATAGCAGGAAAAAGTAGAAGGTCTCTGTAGCTCAGCCTCTCTTAAGTTTTCTGTCCTGGAGAAAAAGAAAGGTTTACCAAGCAGACATTTCCGCTGATCCGGGAGAAAGCCTTGCAGGCCACAATCCGGTTCTTCCATTGACGGCTGTTGAGCTCCACAGCAAGCATGGTGTGTATCAGCGTCTGAGGAAATGGAAGACTTGTATGGATATTCACAATCACTGTTGGAGATACTAGAACCTTGAAGTTACATTCTGACATGGCATCCTGCATAATTAATGTCGCCAGGGTTTACAAGAGATGGGGCAGTTTCCATCTCAGCAAGCTGACTCTGGGATCATAAATTAGGGAACAAAATACAAATTAAAAAATCTAAACAGAAAACTGAGAACTTGGTTTCCTGACTTTAAATATTTTTACCCCTTAAATGATTTTTATATACCTCTATCTTGTAACTTTCACATTGCTATTGAAAGTAACTGACCACAATGTAGGTCTCTGCAGTTTACAATGGTAAACTAGCAGAAGCAAATTCTACATGCCACAACTCTTCTTCCATATGCAAATAGAGACAATTTGCAACCCAATTCTCACTTTTCTCTCAGCTAACTCATGTGACTTCCCCTTGTACTCACCTCTACACCCAGGTTTACTCATGCTTATTCCACCTTATGCTTGAGATCATCAACCCAACCAGCTGCATTTTATTTAACTAATTAATTATTTGAGACAGGATCTTACTCTGTCACTCAGGCTGGCATACAGTGGTGCAATCTCAGCTCGCTGCAGCCTTAAACCTGCCAGGCTCTAGTGATCCTCCCACCTCAGCCTCCTGAGTAGCTAGGATTACAAGCATATACCACCATGCCTGTCTAATTTTGTTTCTTTTTTTGTAGGGACAGGGTCTCACTATATTGCCCAGGCTGGTCTTGAACTCCTGGACTAAATAGATGCTCTTAGCGTCCCAAAGTGCTGGGATTACAGGCGTGAGCCACGTGCCCGGCCCAGCTGCATTTTATTTTATTTCATTTTACTTTATTTTATTGTATTTGTTTGAGACAGAGTCTTTCTTTATTTACTAGGCTGGAATGTAGTAGCGTGATCTCAGCTCACTGCTCAAGCATTTCTCATGCTTCACCCTCCCGAGTAGCTGGGACTACAGGTGTGCGCCACTGCACCTGGCTTTTATATTTTTAGTAGATATGGGGTTTCACCCATGTTGGTCAGTCTGGTCTCGAATTCCTGGCCTCAAGTGATCCATCTGCCTTGGCCTCCCAAAGTGTTGGGATTACAGGGGTGAGCCATTGCCCCTGGCCCCAGTTGCATTTTAGATTGCTTACATTCACTGACCTCAAAGACCTAATTGTTCCCCAAAACTGTTTCTCCGACCCTGTAATGTACACATACTGTCTTCTCACTCAGATGGCTCAGGAGGATATAAGACTGTTCCTCGGTGTCCTCATTCTTCTTTGTAAACAGCTGGTGGAGGATCCTGTTAATCACAGGGTAAGTGGCCGTACCTTCCAGAGCCAAGCACTGAGCTGCAGCCCAGCTATCCACACTGTTACCTGCCACAGTTGGGTGAAAAAGAGTTCAGAATGGTGATGTGTTTTCCCCCTTCGGATTGATACCCAAGGCTGCTACCCAGCTGAACCTCACTTCCTTATACCCGACTCGGTCTACAAATACAGTTTCTTATTTACTTATTTATATATTTTTTGAGGCTGAGTCTTGCTCTGTTGCCCAGGCTGGAATGCAATGGCGTGATCTCAGCTCATTACAACCTCTGCCTCCCAGGTTCAAGCAATTCTCCCGCCTCAGCCTCCCAAGTAGCCGGGATTATAGGCGCCCGCCACCATGCCCGGCTAATTTTTGTATTTTTAGTAGAGATGGAGTTTCACCATGTTGGTCAGGCTGGTCTTGAACTCCTGACCTCAGGTGATCCACTCAACTCGGCCTCCCAAAGTGCTGGGATTATAGGTGTGAGCCACTGCACTTGGCACAATTTCTTATTAAAACCATATTTAGAATAATTATATTGGCTGGGCACAGTGGCTCATGCCTGTAATCCCAGCACTTTGGGAGGCCAAAGCAGGTGGATCACCTAAGGTTAGGAATTTGAGACCAGCCTGGCCAACATGGTAAAACACTGTCTCTACAAAAAATACAAAAATTAGCTGGGCATGGTGGTACACGCCTGTAATCCCAGCTATTCGGAAGGCTGAGGCAGAACAATTGCTCGAACCTGGGAGGTGAAGGTTGCAGTGAGCCAAGATCACACCATTTCACTCTAGCCTGCGCAACAAGAGCGAAACTGTCTCAAAAAAAAAAAAAAAAAAAAGAATCGTATCAAGATTTAAAATATAAACTGAAAATCTCAACCTGAGAAGTTAAATCCTAATGGCTCTTGTTAGGAAACAGAGCCATAAGGCATTTTAGCCTCGCTGAGAGAGGCAGTTGTTTTCCCCTTAAAGATTAGGAAGGCTGGGGTGAGAGGTTTCCTTAATACAGAGGAGTTAAACTGTTGAGTATCTATGTGCAGAAGGCCAAACCAGTCAGCCAGTTTTCCTTGTCAAGGCAAAGAACAGCCTATGTCTTCGAGATAGCACTTAGGCACCCTAGGCCTATCATCTGAGAGCCTTTTTGGTTATGTAACTCCAACAACATGTGGACAGGGCCTGGAAGTTAATATGCAAGAAATGAAAGACGTGTTCAGGTGGTAATTGTTTCTTTTTTTTTTGAAATTTTCAGAGTACTGGTTGGGTGTGGTGGCTCATGCTTGTAATTCTAGCACTTTGGGAGGCTGAGGTGAGTGGATCACGAGGTCAGGAGATCAAGACCATCCTGGCTAATACGGCAAAACCCCGTCTCTACTAAAAATACCAAAAACTAGTCAGGCATGGTGGCATGTTCCTGTAGTTCCAGCTATTAAGGAGGTTGAGGCAGGAGAATTGCTTGAACCTGGGAGGCAGAGGTTGCAGTGAGCCGAGATCGCGCCACTGCACTCCAGCCTGGGTGACAGAGTGAGACTCCATCTCAAAAAACAAAAAAGTATTTAATATTGTTATGTCGTCTTTTCAATGAAAATGTGAAAGAAGTCATGGTCTCTAATCAAGTGCATCTATTAAAAGTTTAGTCCAGGCCGGGCGTGGTGGCTCAAGCCTGTAATCCCAGCACTTTGGGAGGCCGAGGCGGGTGGATTACGAGGTCAAGAGATCGAGACCATCCTGGTCAACATGGTGAAACCCCGTCTCTACTAAAACTACAAAAAATTAGCTGGGCATGGTGGCGCGTGTCTGTAGTCCCAGCTACTCAGGAGGCTGAGGCAGGAGAATTGCCTGAACCCAGGAGGCAGAGGTTGCAGTGAGCCGAGATTGCGCCATTGCACTCCAGCCTGGGTAACAAGAGCGAAACTCCGTCTCAAAAAAAAAAAAAAAGTTTAGTCCAGGCTGGCTGGAGTGGCTCACGCCTATAATCCCAGCACTTTGGGAGGCCCAGGTGGGCAGATCACCTGAAGTCAGGAGTTCGAGACCAGCCTGACCAACATGGAGAAACCCCATCTCTACTAAAAATATAAAATTAGCCAGGCGTGGTGGTGCATGCCTGTAATCCCAGCTACTTGGAAGGCTGAGGCAGGAGAGTTGCTTGAACCCGAGAGGAGGAGGTTGTGGTGAGCGGAGATCGTGCCATTGCAGTCCAGCCTGGGCAACAAGAGCTAGACTCCATCTCAAAAAAAAAAAAAAAAATTAGTCTAGCTACCACTTGGTGGCAGTGTACCTGTTTTGTTAAAGTATGTAGGAGAAAGCAAATTTTCTTTTTTCTTTTCTTTAGAGACGGTCTTGCTGTGTCACCCAGGTTGGAGTGCAGTGGCACCGTCACGGCTTACTGCAGCTTCAACTCCCAGGTCTCAAGCCAACTCTGATAAGCATGTATATGTAGGCCTGCCTCAGCATCCCAGGTAGCTGGGTCTACAGGAGCACACCACCACACCTCTAATTTTTAAATTTTTTTTATAGAGATGTGGTCTTGTTATGTTGCCCAGGCTGGTTTAGAACTCCTAGGCTCAGGTGATCTTCTTGCCTTGACCTCTCAAAGTTCTGGGATTACAGGTGTGAGCGACAGTATCTGGCCCTAATTTTCAGATATTCTAACAGAAATCCAAACCCAATACAGCAGACATCACAGAGCATGACAGTGGAGAGGAAAGGACTGGGAAAGCTGAAAGTGAGATGTCTCTTTATCCCATATTTCCAGGTCAGAAGTAACAGAGTTACTCACCCTTTAGAAGGGCAGTCTGCATGATGTTCCGGGCAAGGGGATTATGTGACTGTATGGCATATTGGCATATTGCTGCTGCCATCTGCACATTGGCATTCTTGTCACAAAGAGCAGCCTCTAGGGCAGGCAGTAGAACCTCTGGCAAGTCCTGGATACTCTTGCCTGTGATCAAAAGAGCCAAGTAAGATATTACTAGCCCCTTTGCTTTTCTCACACACAGCTTCTTTTCCACAACCACGTGGTGGCCAACCTCAGTCCCAGTTGCAGTTGCTTAGTGCTATGTAATATAATTACAGTTTAGCTGAGCCATTGAGATGGGCAGGATTTTATGCTCAAAGGGTTAAAGCTCACCTCTGTGCTGGTATGCCAGTTCCCAATGCTTTATCATCTGTCCTCTAAAGAGCTATATTCAAGCTGAAGAAGAATATTTCCAGTGAGGCTACAGTGAACTACACCTTTAGTTTTAGTGATTAAAAGCAACCAATTTGCCCCAGAAGCCTTGATATTTTTAAGAACAATTATATTTAGGTAGTGCTTTGCCATTTACTTATATAATATAGTGTTTTCACATTGATTATCTTACTGTCTTCCAAACTTGGTTGAATTAGGCAAGGCAGGTATCATTGCAGAGCTCACCAGGGAGTCTTTTTTGGTTCAAGTAAACATTAAAGTTCATTATACTGCCATGGCCCGAAGGATATGGAACAGGACCTTAGTTTGTCAACAGGGCAGCAGCATCAGGCATCCCTTTTGGTGGGAGTACTATTATTATTATTATTTTGAGACAGAGTTTTTGTTCTTATTGCCAAGGCTGGAGTGCAATGGCGCAGTCTCAGCTCACTGCAACCTCTGCCTCCTGGGTTCAAGTGATTCTCCTGCCTCAGCCTCCCAAGTAGCTGGGACTACAGGCACCTGCCAACACCTTCACCATGTTGGCCAGGCTGGACTCAAACTCTTGACCTCAGGTGATCCACCCTCTTTGCCCTCCCAAAGTGCTAGGATTACGGGCATGAGCCACCGCTCCTGGCCTTGGCTGGAGTTCTTGAGGCTGTCTTGAGCATTCCACAGAGCCCTTTGGGGACATCACAGGAGCCTGTTGTTCATTCAGGAACTCATACTCTTATGAAAACTCCATAGACACAATTCTAGGGTCCAAAAAAGGCCTTCCTAAGTTACAGCATCCAGGGAGGCCCAAACTATGGTGTCCCTATCAAGTATTTATATTTCACTTATAGCTGTTCCCAGTCCCAATGTAATGTATCAGTCAGAGTTTATATCATAACCAGTATTGCCTATAAAGATAGTTCTTACAAGGTTTTTAGGGGAATAGGTGGGCATTTAACTGAATCTCAAATTCTCAAGTAGGAAGGAGAAAGGTCTTATTAATCTCTTTGTCTACTTCATTTTATAGATAAGGAATTTGAAGCTCAGAGAGGTTAGCTGACTTCCCAGGAAGTGGCACAGCTGAGCCTGTGACTCATATTTTAAGATTCTGTCGGGCACGGTGGCTCACACCTGTAATCCCAGGACTTTGGGAGGCTGAGGCGAGCAGATCATTTGAGGTCAGGAGTTCGAGAGCAGCCTAGCCAACATGGTGAAATCCTGTCTCTACTAAAAATACAAAAAAATTAGCCGGGCATGATGGTGCACGCCTGTAGTCCCAGCTAATCGGGAGGCTAAGGCAGGAGAATTGCTTGAACCCAGGAGGTGGAAGGTGCAGTGAGCTGATATCATGCCACTGTACTCCAGCCTGGACAAGACAGCGAGGTTCTGTCTCAAAAAAAAAAAAAAAAAAAAAAATGCATCTTGACTGGGCACAGTGGCTCACACACCTGTAATCCCAGCAGTTTGGGAGATTGAGGTGGGAGAATCATTTGAGGCCAGGAGTTCAAGACTAGCCTGGTCAACATAGCAAGACACAGTCTCTACAAAAAAAAAAAAAAGAATGGGATCTTCAAGGTGGGAAATGTTAACTTCCCTGCAGGCCACTGAGCAAACAAAAGGTGATTAAATGTAGTTCAAAAATTACTGGACTAGAAGTCTGGAATTTTAATCTCATCCCTGTTGCTTATTAGCATGTATATATAGGCCAGTCTCTAAGTCTTGGTTTCCTCATTTGTAAAATGACCTCAGATAAGCTCCAGGCCCTTACCACTTCAGATGTTCCATGGCTTTATGAGTTTTATGTTCTCAAGCAGTTCAGCTTTGACTCTCACCTGAGTCCCTCTGGCTGGTGGCAATCCGGGGCCGTTCCACAGCAGCCGTGGCACACGTGGTGATGGCTTGGATCCGAATGTCGTCATGCAGGTCTGCCAAGCTCCGAAGCAGGTTCTCTACTGTCTCATGGTGCCACTCTATGACTGAGCCGCAGTGAGGGAAATGAGAAGAGAACCACCTGGTTAGGATTAGATATGGTGCTGCAGGCAGGTGACAAGAAGTCTGCCTTTACCCAGAATAATTCAAGCAAAAAAACATTAGCTCAGGGAATAAAGGACCCGGAGATGGGTTCTTTAGGGAGTTATTTCTCTGATGATCCATGTACCCTCTCAGGTAAGTTCCCAGACAAAACTTCTCCCAATCCCATCATAACTGTCTCTCTTCCCTTAAATAACTTTTTGTTGTAACCATCTAGAAAATAAAAGCGACCATAAAACAAAGTAGTTAAGGGTACTTTGTTTTCAGACATACCTGGTTTGGGTTCACAATTATTAGCTGTGTGACTGGATAAATTACTTAACCTCTCTGAGCCTGAGATTTCTTATTTGTAATACAGGCATAATACTAGATAGAACCCACATATTGAGTTAATCTTAGTGTTAAATGAGTCAACTAGACAAAGTGTTTAGCAAAATGCCTGGCAAGATAATAAAGGTCCAATAAATGTTCATTATTGTGGTTTTCACTAGGTTCTTTGTCTTTGAGGGCACTTCCATTTGGCTTTCAACATCTTCCTCATTTTGGTTGCTAACTATTCTTTTGGCAGGTATCAGACTTTTATTTCAAAGCTCCTACTATCTGTAGGTGCTTCCTTCAGTTTTTGTTGTTGTTGTTGATCTGATCCAGTTTACCTAGTGGATCACCTCTCCTTTTCCTGCACTAAGCTTATCTATCATGTTCTGAAAGCCAGCAGCATTGAGTTATCAAATACCATAGTTTTCAACAGTCCTTGCCAGGCCATTACTTTGCCCCAGGCACTCAGACTTCTACTCTCATATCTTTGAAGGCAAAGTAGGTATAGGATAGCCCCAACTCTGGGCTGGGTGCAGTGGCTCACACCTGTAATCCCAGCACTTTGGGAGGCCAAGGTGGGCAGATCACGAGGTCAAGAGTTTGAGACCAGTCTGGCCAACATGGTGAAACTCCATCTCTACTAAAAATACAAAAATTAGCCGGGCCCAGTGGCAGGCACCTGTACTTGGTAGGCGGAGGCAGGAGAATTGCTTGAACCTGGGAGGCGGAGGTTGCACTGAGCTGAGATTGTGCCATTGCACTCCAGCCTGGGTGACAGAGCAAGACTCTATCTCGGAAAAAAAAAAAAAAAAAAAGGATTGGAGAGGGATTGCTTATACCACAGTCAACTACGACATGGACAATGGTTGGGCAGCATATTTTTTTCTTTCCTTCATGCATCATTTACTGAGCATAAGGTTTGGAAATTAATAAGATAGCATCGCCCGGGTCCGGTGGCTTACGCTTGCAATCCCAGCACTTTGGGAGGCTGAGGCAGGTGGATCACCTAAAGTCAGGAGTTCAAGACCAGTCTGGCCAAACTGGTGAAATCCTGTCTCTACTAAAAACACAAAAATTAGTCAGACAACGTGATGCACACATGTAGTCCCAGCTACTCGGGAGGCTGAGGTAGGAGAATCACTTGAACCTGGGAGGTAGAGGTTGCAGTGAGCCAAGATAGAGTGCCATTGCACTCCAGCCTAGATAACAGAGCAAAATTCCATGTTGGGAAAAAAAAAAAGTTAGGGTCCCTGCCTCTGAAGAGTGTTGAGTGTAATGAGTTTCCACAAATTACTGAAGTAATACCCACTCATGCAAAAAGCACCCAGATATATGTTAACCAAAGTTCATCTGATACCCACTATGTGAAAGGCTTTTTTTTTTTTTTTTTGAGACAGAGTCTTGCTCTGTTGCCCGGGCTGGAATGCAGCGGCACGATCAAACTTCACCTCCCAGGCTCAAGCAATTCTTCTGCCTCAGCCTCTTGAGTAGCTGGGACTACAGGTGCATGCCACCACACCCAGCTAATTTTTGTATTTTTAGTAGAGACGGGGTTTCACCATATTGGCCAGGCTGGTCTTGATCTCCTGATTTCATGATCCACCCACCTCAGCCTCCCAAAGTGCTAAGATTACAGGCATGAGCCACCATGCCCAGCCCCCAAAGGCTCTTATCTAGTCTAGCCTTAATTAGGCAAGCAGATTTTTACATTTCACAAAGGAGGGATGGATTTTCAAAAATTGAGAAAGCCTAGTCCAAGATTAGAACCACCTCTCACAAACACATACAGTATCACAGGGCCTCCCTTCACTCACTCAGAGCCCAGGCAGTCTTCCATTCCTGCAGCATCCTCCGCAGGACCATCAGTTCCCAGGTTACATCCTCCTCCAGTGATTGTGCCTGCCTCTTCAATCTCCGGGTCTTAATAGGCACATCCTCCTCACCCACCTGCAGCAGCATATCCTTGGCGGGGGTGGGCAAAGCAGTCCAGCGCAGGGCTCCTTGCACAGGTCTGCAAGCTGAGCACCATGGAAGTGTGAGGTCTTCTCACTCCACTGCCCTAGGCCCTGCCACACAGTGGCCCTAGCTTGCATCCCATTCCTATTCCTGACTAATACCAAAGCAAAACAAAACCCTCAGGAGTGAATTTTCCCACGAGTATGTAGGGAACTGAGTACAAGGACACAGGGAATTATGGAAAGTCCTGACTACAGACATGGTAAGCTATCATGATGATGGGGGTGAGAGATTTGTGGGGGGAAAGTGAGATATCTACACACCTTTTAAAGGTTATCTTTAGGAACCTAAATCTTTAGGAACACAATTATGTTTATACACAACGAGATTTGCTCGTAAACATCAGTATTTGATATGTTGCAATTTAGTGTCATTGGCCATTGATTTCTAACATACTAAGTTTTCCTTTTAACATTTTTAATTTGGGGAGAGTAATGGTGCTAAAAGATGTGAAATTTTAAAGATTTTAACATCTCTGAGTTTCTCCTCATGACAACAAATTTGAGAACAGAAGAAACCATAAATATTGGATATAGTTATTTATTTATTTATTTAGAGACCTAGTCTGACACTGTCACCCAGGCTGGAGTGCAATGGTGCAATCTCGGCTCACTGCAACCTCCACTTCCTGGGTTCAGATGATTCTCCTGCCTCAGTCTCCCGAGTAGGTTGGATTATAGGTTCGTGCCACCACACCCAGCTAATTTTTGTATTTTTAGTAGAGACGGGGTTTCACCATGTTGGCCAGGCTGGTCTTGAATTCCTGACTTAGTGATCCACCTACCTTGGCCTCCCAGAGTGCTGGGGTTACAGGCATGAGTCACTGCGCCTGGCTAGTTATATTTTAAAGCTACATGTTTTCTGAACTTAATGTTTTTCATGATGTCAAGTTTAGAAAGCCTCTTTCTCAGAAAAAAAAACTATATGGAGAAGGGGAAGGCAAAATGATAAAAACATTTCCAGACGTACTAAACTCATCATTTATACCGCCTGTTAGTCTCATGTTCTAATCAGTCACTATTAGCCATTTCTGTTTTTTTCCAAGATTTCATTCCAACTCTTAACATCTTTAGATTTGCTCTGAATCAGTTCTTTCCTTTGAGCAAGGAAGGCATAACACAAAAAGAGTCCTGTGAGGCGTGGCATGGTGGCTCACGCCTGTAATCCCAGCACTTTGGGAGGCTAAAGCGGGTGGATCACTTGAGGTTAGGAGTTTGAGACCAGCCTTAGCAACATGGTGAAACCCCGTCTCTACTAAAAATACAAAAATTTGCCAGGCCTGGTGGTGGGCGCCTGTAATCCCAACTACTTGGGTCAAAGCAGAAGAAGCACTTGAATCAGGGAGGTGGAGGTTGCAGTGAGTTGGGATTGCGCCATTGCACTCCAACCTGAGTGAAAGAGCAAGACTCCATCTCAAGAAAATAAAAGAGTCCTGTGAGTCTCCAGAGAAGTTTCGCACAGATGCCTATACATTGCATCTCCTCCAAATGGTCCCCACCAGCTTGGACATGCTGGGGGACTCAGCTACTCTGCTGAGGCCCCTCTCTTTTGCGGGATAGGGTGTGTGCAACTGGGAGCTGTGGAACCACCTCTAAGAGGCCAGCTGACACTTTACCTTGTGACCCTCCCTGACTTCTCCCTCTTGAAGAGGTGAGAATTAGCTGAATTAACCCCATTTCTCCTATATCGCTTTGCTCAAGGAGTTAAAATGGACTTGTGGTGAGAAAGTCTTAGATCTCTGGTATTTAACTCCATAGGAATAAAAAATACAACTGCCAGCATTTACTTTAGTTCCAGTCCTTTGGGTTATACATGGATAGAAACACATCCACTAGCCAACTTCCATATCAACAGTCATCTAAAGCAGAGGTCCCTAACCCTCAGGTCACAGGCCTGTACCAGTTCATGGCCTGTTAGGAACCAGGCCACCACAGCAAGAGGTGAGCGGTGGGCAGGCAAGCATTACTGCTGAGCTCTGCCTCCTGTCAGATCATCAGTGGCATTAGATTCACACAGGAGCATGAACCCTATTGTGAACTGCACATGTGAGGGATCTAGGTTGCACACCCCTTATAAGAATCTAATGCCTGATGATCTGAGATGGAACAGTTTGATCCTGAAACCATCCCCACCCAACTGGTCTGTGAGAAAACTGTCTTCCACAAAACTGGACCCTGGTGCCAAAAAGGTTGGGGACTGCCAATCTAAAAGGAGCACACAAAGTAATGACTCTTGGCGGAGCACGGTGGCTCATGCCTATAATCCCAGCACTTTGTTTGCGAGGCTGAGGTGGGAGGATCCCTTGAGGCCAGGAGTTCAAGACCAGCCTGGGCAACTTAGTGAGACCCTATCTTTAAAAAAGTTAAAATTTAGCTGGGTGTGGGGTGCACACCTGTGACCCTAGGTATTTGAGAAGCTGAGGTGGGAGGATTGCTTGAGCCTGGGAGGTCGAAGCTGCAATGAGCCATGATCATATCACTGCACTCCAGCCTGAGCCACTAAGCCAGACCCTGTCTCCAAAAACAAACAAAAAAACTCTTTCGTTTTCTTTTTTTTGAGACAGACTCTTACTCTGTCACTCAGTCTGGAGTGCAGTGGCATGATCAGGGCTCATTGCAGCCTCAATATCCCAGACTCAAGTGATCCTCCTACCTCAGGCCTCCAAGTAGCTGGGACTACAAGTGTACATCACCACGCCTGGCTTATTTTTTGTATTTTTAGTACAGAGAGGGTTTTGCCAGGTTGCCCAGGCTGGTCTCGAACTCATGGGCTCAAGTGATCCACCTGCCTTGGCCTTCCAAAGTGCTGGCCTTGTACCATGAAACCTATGCTTGGTATATAGGAATGGTGTCATGGTAAATGGAGTCTCCTGGAGGATATGCACATTTTGTTTCATAAGCTAATTTCTTGGCCACCTCCCTTCTCTCTTTGTCTTTTTTTTTTTTTTTTTTTTTTTCTGAGACGGAGTTTCGCTCTTG